GCATGGTATGCTGTCTCGAAATCGGCAACTTCAAAGCTGATATTCTCTGTGCGGAAGTTTTCCCGAGTGCCAAAAGTGACCGGGAGAGTGATCTGGCCGAGTGGAGTTGCGGATAATCCTGGAATTACTCCGTGAAAAGGCGCATTGCTTGGTTTTAACTCGGAGCGAGGGATCTGCATATCATCCAAAGTCTTGGCGAAGAGGATATTGAGTGCACTGCCACCATCAATGAGGGTTCTGCGAAGCTTGACATTACGGACCACTGGGTCTAGTACCAGGGGGTACCGCCCCGGGTGGACCACTCGGTCAGGATGATCCGAGCGGTCAAACTTGATTGCAATCTCTGACCATCGAAGATACTGGGGCGTGTCGGGCTGAACAGCATTGATCTCCCGTTCAGTCAACTTCTGCTTCCGTTTAGACTCATAAGCCAGGGGGCCGCCGAAGATATGGTTGAGCTCCTTGCGGTGGTCTTGAAATCCAGCCGGGGTGTCGCCGTCGTCCTTCTTCCTTGACGTGCTTTGTTCCTCGTCGGAGTTCTTCCGAGTAGACTTGGTGTACTGCTCCGCGAACTGCTTGTAGATGAAGCATTCTTTGGCCACGTGGTTGGAGTTTGGATGATGCGGGCATTGGGAGTTCATGATCTTGTCGAAGGTGTTGACGCGCGAACGCTGTCGAGAAGAGTGAGCAGCGGTTGCAACAAGTTCCTCAGGCTTACGCTTGCGGTCCTTATGATTGTTACTTCCACCTCCTCCCGTAGCCGGCGTGTTTTTCGGCTTCCAACTGGGACCCGACTGCTTCGATGCGGTGACGGCGTCTTCGGCTTTGGCGTACTCGTTGGCTTTTTCAAACATGAGCTTGACTGTTCTGGGAGGTTTGCGCCCAAATTTGCCGACCAATTCTTCGTGGCGAATCCCTTTGGTGAATGCGGCGATGATGACGTCGTCGGTGATGTCGGAGATCTTGTTACGTTGTTCAGAAAATCGCCGGATGTAATCTCGAAGGGATTCTCCGGACTTCTGAATGACGTTGTAAAGATCATATTGTGTGCCGGGACGCTCGAAGGTGCCTTGGAAGTTGGCGATGAAGTGGTCGCGTAGTTCGGCCCAAGATCCAATGGTACCACGGGGCAATCCATGGAGCCAAGATCGGGCGGAATCCGCTAAAGCCACTGGTAGATAGTTCGCCATAGCCTTGTTATCACCTCCTGCTGCGCGGATTGCGAGACCGTAGACGGTAAGCCACGATTCTGGATTAGTGGTACCGTCGTACTTCTCTATTCCAGTCGGTTTGAAGCCGGCTGGCCAATCCACTCGACGCAGGTCGTCGGTGAAGGCAGCAACTCCGTCAAGGTCGTCGTCGCGGCGATCCGGCGAGTGATGGTAGCCTCGAGCTGCTCGGCGCTGTGTGATTGTGTCGCGAAGATCGATGGGGCGGCGACGAGGTGGTGAGCGAGGCCGTTCCACTCGGCGCTCCCTATGAAGTTCGGGAGGCGAGTGAACAGACCGCTCGTCGTGGCCCCTGCTCCTGCGATTGGATCCTGCTCCAGTGATGCTGAGGCTTGGATGACGGTAGTCATGAGATCGGAAGTGAGGGACCCGGCTGCCAGTCGGCGTGTGGACGCTTTCGGAGTTAACTGGGACCGTCGCCGCAATCATGGTCTTCGTCTGGTTCAAGATGTTGACGACGTGGTCGGAACGATTGAGCTCGTTTTGGTTGAGGAGGGTGTCGAGAAGGGTGATCGCGGCAACCGCATTCTGTTGAGGGGTGCGGAAAACCGGTGTCCCCTCGACATCTTGCTGACCGATGAGATCACGTGCTCGGCGCCCTGCTTCCAAAGCTCGCTGACGTCGATCCTCAGCCTCCTTCGCAGTCCGCTCACGGTCCTGCTGCTCGCGCCGTAGCCGTTCTTGTTCTTGTGCTTGATGCTCCTCCTCCAGTCGGCGACGTTCTTCGGTCTCCCGGGCTTGGCGCTGCTCCTCCGTCTCATTATTGGCCATGAAAACGCCAAAGTAGAGAGGGGTGTAATTGTCATCTAGGCTTCCGTCGAAGTCGTCGAAGTCGTCGAAGTCGTTGTAGCGAGAACTAAACTCGTCGTACTCCACGATGTCAGTAGGACGTGAGTCGACGGTGGGAGAGCTGTTGTAGTCTTCCAGCTGGTCCGTCGAAACCGTGCCGAGTGGTTGGAGGATGACGCCGACTTCCCTGAAGCTAGGCGAAATCGGTGTTGAAGCCGACTTCCGCCTAGGCCTACGGGATGAAGATGCTGTCGTGGTGAAGATGGCCGCTAAATCGTCGGGGAGCTTCATCAGGACTGGTGGGTAAGCCCCGTCATCTTGATCTGGTGTCGTTGGAGAAGATGCGATCTCGGCCGAGTGGTTTGAAGCCGACTCGGCTGAGATGGTCTTGAAATAGCTTTCAGCCGCGTTCGGGAATCCAAACGGGACCGAAAGCCGGTTCTCTCCCGACTGGTCTGATTCCGAGTCGAGGAGAGAAATCTTGCCGAAGTTGTTGGTGATGAAGTCGAGGCTGCCGAACCGAAACGCCTGCCCGGGTGGGAAGACGAGGTCGTCGATGCCGGAAAAGGGACCCATTGCACTGATCGGCGAAAAGCTTGACGCTACCCCTACCTGGCGCGCCAACTGTCGAAACTAGATTTCGGCAATAATAAAGGGGGTGGCTATCAAGCTAGAAAAGTGTATGGGTTTGGAGACAAAGGATTTATACAGGTTCAGGCCTTCTTATGAAAGAAGTAATACCCTACTCCTGTCCGGGGATGAATCCGCCGAGTGTATTATTGATTGTATGATTCGGGAAAAATCAACATATGCCCCTAGAGGCGCCCGGACCCCCCTTATATATGGGAAGGAGTCCGGGTTACAAAAGATAATCTATATTCCTAACGGAATATGAAGATACAGGTAAAATACAGTCGTAACCGACTAATTCTCAGGGTGTTTCCTTGATACACAAGTTAAGAAACAAACCCGAGATACAGATAAGATATTCTATCTACATTAAGTATCCTGTACCCAGTTCAAATACCATCGCCGTGTAGATATAGGATACCCATAATCTCCACAGTATTAGTCTAAAAATGCTTATATTTTAGGACGGAGAGAGTATATTTTAAAATTTTGTATACAATTTTTAATGGATTTACATAGAGTTTTGGAACTAAGCTCGCTCCACTCATGCTAGTTTTGGGTTGAGATGTGGTTGCTACAGCTCTTTTGCTACTATACAGCCTTGCGGGCTACTCTCAGTCTAAAAAGAAACTCAATTCTAAAAATGAATCTAGAATCTAGAGTCGGGACAAGTATTAGTTCAGATTGATTTTTTTTAAAAAACAGAGAGAGTAGACAGGGGATGTAGTCCACGTTCACGCCGTTATTGTGTCCGGAGGAGAGGTTGCTCAGGCACGCTAGCTGCTGTTTCTGCTGCTGGGCTCTCCCCATCGCTCTGCAGTTTCCCTGCATTCTGCTGAACTGAAGGGAGCACGTACGCCTCGCACGTTTGCACTGACAGGGAAGCATGAGCCAGCATACATATGCCACCTGCGTTGGCGTTCATCTTACCGTGGTTCTCGATCGCTGCTTGTGAAGGATACAAAGGGGATGCTTCGGCTTGGATTCATGATGCGTCCTATTCCGATGTGCATGATCGAATTTAGCAAACTGAAGTGATCCTACGCTCTTTGATCTGCCTCTCCAATCATCCCACACGAGATTATGTGTGCGTGGGCATGGCTCATGGGCGACATATATATCGCGCGCGTATTTATGTGTTGCGGCTGGGTAGGCAGGGTTTACAAAACCGGCGATAACTGCAGGGTTATCGTGGTTATCACATTTATTGCCGGGTACGATAAAAGGTAAAACTGAGATAACTCCATTAAATTCAAATAAATTTTGAAAAATAATTTGAATTTTTGATAAGTTTTATACGGTGTCTTACTGTTTGCCATGGTTAGCGCGGTAACCGTGCTTATTGTTAGGGTGAAGGCAACCCCTATTCCAAAGGTACGGGAAACTCTGCTGGGTAGTACCCAGAATGGTGACTTAATTAATTCAGTACCATATGTAGGATCGAATCACAAGAACTAAGCCAACCAGGGGGGGTGAATGGTTGGTATACCCAAAAACTGAAAACTTTTAGCGGAAAAAAAAGTAAACCTCGAATTCGATGGATCGCGGTCTGACCGAAGTGAATGCGCCGGTCTGACCGCCTAATGAACGTTGATCTGACAGCGATCGAACTCCGGTTGAACCGCCGAGATGATCTGCTGCCGACTCCTGTCGCCGCCGGTCTGACCGCCGCGATGCCACCGGTCTGACCGCCGGTGAGCCGCCGGTTAGACCGCCGAAACCTGGTGAAACACAAATCGAAGAACTATTAAAGTAGATGACGACTTTATTGATTCTCTCTGTGTTTACAAAGTGCACCAATAGCACTCCTTACAAAAATTTTGACTAAACTCGAAACCCTAACTCAAAACTCAACTCAATTGCTCTCTAAAGCGATACCGGGAAGCCTCACGCTCCCCCTCTATTTATACCCGAGGTAGGTAGCCTAAAGCCACGAACCAAACTCATACTAGAAGTCCTAAACACCTTAGAAAACTCTCTAGTACAAGAAACAAACTTTTCATAACCAATCATATCAAATTTGGACTCCTTCCAAATTTGACTCCGCATCCCATATGCACACAATACCTCCATCGTATGCCATATGGAATCTCCATCAACCACGTGCATCAACTCTAGCCTAAGTATCCCGCATGATCTCTGACCACCACAGACGTTGTCTTATCCCCAAGCCGACTCCCGGTCCATCACCGCAAATACTCTCCCGAGGCATCGAGTCACCTACACATGAAATAAACAAAGAAACCATATTCCGAGACCAAGCTAATTCCAACTTGACACATTAGTAGCAAACAACAGTATTACATACGTATAGTATCCATCTAGAAGCCATAATCATGAAATAATCACGGATATCCAAACAAACAACCCGAAACCGAAACCGACACAGCGTCGGCCGGTCAGACCACGGGCTGCGCCGGTCTGACCGCGCAATACACATCGGTCTGACCGGCCGCACTAGCCCGGTCTGACCGGACCACAATTCAGCAGTATCCTGTAGATCACCTGGTGGTTTGGCATTGCGAGCCTTCTGAGGTGGCGGCGTTATGCTTACTTGAGATGCGAATGGTTGCGTCGGATTCATCTGGGCTTGATGTTGATTTTGACTCCAGTTCTGATATTGCAAACTGTCTTGCTGTAATAGAGTTATGAGCTGTTTGTTCTGACGGATCAGGTGTTGGGCCACTGCCATATAGCCTACACCCGGTGATTCATTAGCTTGGGAGCTTGAGGCACTATTATCATAGCTTCCGATTTTCTTGCCGTTCTTATTGTCAGCCATCTGCTGCAGGGTTTGGAGAGGGAGAGAGGGAAAAATTGGGGACGGATAGATCAGAACTAAGGGTAAGACCTTAAAAGATCTAATCTTTTATTGATATGATGTCGGTACATTAATTCTGCAAGTTGATTAAGCAAGCAACCTATCATGGTTACATCACAACCCACCGATGTAAACCATGCGCTACACACACAAGCAAGAAAACAGACGCCTAAAAGAAAACTACGGAACTCTTGGTAGCTTAGGTTCAATTATAGGATTCTTCAGGATCTTCACTCCTTGGTGCTTAGAGGGGGAACTTCGGAGGCAGGTTCCTTCTTCACAACTATTATGTGTTGAATCCAAGCAAGGGAGGGGGAGATGAACACTTTGTAAATAGCATAGGGAAGAAGGAAAATGGAAATTTGACAAATAGTTTTCGTTTGGCAAATAAGTCCTTAGGGTTTGTTCGTTTGGCTTATCCTACAGTCGAGATGGCTCTGATACCAACTTGTCACGCCCGGAAAATACCTTTCCCAAACGCTAATGTATTAATCCCCGTCGCAGGAAATGCAGGGGTACACCACAACAAACTTGATACAAAAGACACATCTTTATTAATTATCACGATAATATTTACATTATTACAAAGGCACATTAGGCCCGACAACAAAAGAAAAACAGCAGCAGACTAGCGGGCCTACGGCTCCATCTTCACAGGCACTTAACTGGGGTATAAGCCAGGACTCCACCTAAGACATATTCTTCAAATAGTTTCGCTGACTGAAGGGGGAAAGATTGAGCAAGAATGAGTACAACCATCGTACTCAGCAAGCCATGCCGGGAAATGAATTATAGTGCAAAGGGGAACAAAGAGTTGGCATAATAGGGTTCATTTTTGCGTAAAGCCAGAGTTGCAATATTTTAATGTTTTTAAAGCATAGTTTAAACTCGGTCCAATATTATCACGATTGCGAAACCACGCAAACCGGCCTTAAACCCCAGGTTAACCACCTGTCCAAAGTGCCATGAATTCCAACCATCACTCAGAAGAAAAACACTAACTTGGGTACATTGCTAGGCTTGCCCATAACCGAGGGCGCGGCTATTCGAATAGTTTTACTCCGATCAGAGGTGTACATTTTTACCCACAAGACACACTTGACTTCATGTCAGCCATGCATCGCGATACCTCAAAGGTACCCGAAAAGTCAAGATCGTGACAAGACTATCCACCTAGCTCAACCCAAAACAGAAGGACCCGCTAAGGTTTCGCCGCCCGCCGGTCCTCGATAAGGTAAAGGTTGCCGGATCCCCCGGGACGAGACAGGCCCCCTCTTGCGCCAGGTCAAAGTCGGCCTCCCCTAGCCCCAGACCTATCATACCGATGGCCTTTGTTTTGAGATGATCTAGACTTCTAGTCAGGCCTTACCCATTAGACTTGTGGTTGCACTGTTATGCTTCGCAACAGAGGCCCGAAGACTGGTCCTTATAGTGGCCGAGGTGCTTCTAACAAAACCATGCACCTCGCGCCCCACCAAAAACAGGTTTTGGGAGTTTTGAATGAGATTCCAACATGTCCAGGCTCAGCTAGCCACCTGATCATCAATCTTGAATATTTTAGTTATTACCCACAGTCTAATTTATAAAAAGGGTTTCCATGTTGGATCTAAGCATAGATAAGCTCAACCTAGTGCAACTAGTAAGTCCATCATATACGGAGTCATACTAGTCATTTTATCATTTTACTAGGGTTGTCAAGAGCATGGGTAGCAATTCAACAACATGGCTATATAACAAGGAACATTGGAATATTAACTATTAAATAAACAATGGTGAGCGTCATATAATTTATAAAAGCGATGCATATAGAAGTGAAACAACATAGTTTTTGCAATAATGGGATTCAATATGTTCAAGAAATATGGTATGACTTGCCTTGCTCGAAGAGAAAGTCTTCAGACGACTTGATCTGCACTTTGGGAACTTCCGAAACGACGGCAGCTACACGAACAACAAAACAGGGCTACAAATCTAAGAAAGAAACAATAACAACACATAAAAACAATAAACACGGGTTCTTTAAGTTATAACAGAAATTAAACAATTTAACGAGTGAATTAGGAGCTTGTATGGCCGAGAAACGACCATCCGAATTTTAAGTGCAATTAAAGTGGATATTTCCGAGTTGTTTAATTATTATTATTATACCATTAAATTATGTGCAATGTAACATCACTCGAGAGAGAAAGGATAGAGCGACTGGCAGCCGGGACTACCACGTGAGCTGCACACATGGGCAATCCACGCGGCGACCACAAGGGGAGGACGAGGAGAGGGCAGGAAGGGGAGGGTTCTCACCACGGGCACGACGCGGCAAGGGAACAACGATGGCGACCGGCGAAGACCTTGGCACAGCAACGACGAACGGAGGAAGGCGACGGAGACGAACGGGTCGAAGACGAGGGGATGGCTCTGGCAATCCTCGGGCTTGACGAAGAGGCGGACGACGAGGGGCTTGGCGCTGCGGACTTGACGACGATGATGACGGGCAGCACTTAGTCTTGGCGGGAACGGCGACCAGAGGAAGGCGACTGCGACGTGGCGACGTTCCACGGGTCTTCGGGCAGCGAGGAGGCGCGGCCGACGACGAAGACGACGAGATGAAGCCGACGGCAGCGACGGTGCAGCGAGCCGGCACTCTAGCGACGAGGGAGGGCTGCCGGAGGACGAGGATGAAAGCGACGTCATCACTGCTCACCATTGAGGACGAATTTCCGGCAGTCTCCAGGAGAAATAGAGGTTGGGCCGAGGAAGAGGAGGCGGCTGCGACGCCGGTGGAGGCAGTGGCGCGCTGCGGCGTCGCTCGATTCGATGGTGAGGGCCGACTGGAGGAGAACGACGGTGGTGGCGCCACTGGTTGCCGATGAGGATGCACTCCCGGCAGCCTCTGGGCGAAACGGAGAGGAGGCCGGGGAAGAGGAGGTCGCTGCGAAGCAGATAGTGGCGACGCCGGGCTCCGAGGAGGTCCCGACTGCCGAGGAGGGGCGGCCGGAGTTGCACGACGGCGGCGGCGCGAGAAGAAAGCGGCGCGGCAGCCAGGGAGAGAGGAGGGGGAGGGCTGCGTTGTGTGGGGAGAGAGGAGGGGGTCGGGACTCCTTTTATAGGCTGGGAGGAGGAGGGGATCGGCCGGGGAGAGGAGAGGAACGGCCGGAGAGCTCGCCGGGCTGCCATCAATGGCGGCAGTTCATCAGAGATTCAATTCGATGATTAAAGGCCGAATTAAGAGGGAAGAACGTGGGGGAATTGATGAGGAGGAGGATAGGAACCGATTTTTGCATTCAATTTGGAGGAGAAACCACTGGGGAGGGAGATCAAGAGGGGTGGCGGCGCTTCTGTTCTTCGGCTGGGAGAAGAACAGGCGGCGGTCGGCTGGAGGAGGAAGACGACCGGCTGCTGGGCCAGCTGGGCCGCAGGGGGACTAGGAATGGACTTTGTCCGAGGGAGAGGAAAGAGAGTTGGGCCGAGCAAGGGAGGGGAGGAGGTCGGCCCGAGAGGAAGGAGGGAGAGAGGGTCGCCCACGGGCTGAGGGAGAGGAGGACTTTGGTCCGAAAATGGCCCAAAGAGAAGGAGAGAATTATTTTTAGCTTTTCATTTTTAATTAACTCTGCACTTGGTTTTTGTTGCATTTAAATTATTTCTTGTGCTCTGAATATTCAAATAAAAATTGAGGGACCAATTTAGAGCATGGAGAATTTAAGAAAAATACTCCAAGCCACATTAAAATTTTTCTTATACGCATTTTAATGTTTACCAATTTAACTTCGAATTTTAATTAATTTTATTATTCCTTTTAGAGAATGATTTTTAATTTAGGATGGATTTATCAGAGCGTGACAGCTTCCATGTTCATTCCTCAGAGTTGGGAGGACAGACAGGTTTGCTCCTGCAAGTTGTTGCTGGGTCTCCCTTTCCTGTTGCGTTTTCATTTTCTTTTCTTAACTGAAAAGAACACGCCTCGAACATTTGCACGGAGTGGGGAGCAGAAGAGAACGTACATACCACCTGATTGTGCAGGATATTCGATGCACGTTTCGGCTCGAATTCATGATGCTTCCTATTCCGATGTGAGATTGCACGATTCTCGCGGCTTCCTCTCGCACGCTCTTCTCCTAGCAAACTGAAGGGATCATATATACGCTCTTGTTTTAGCTCTTGCCCCTCCAATCCCACACGACAGTCACGTATTTACGTACGCGGTGGGCGTGACTGGGCAAGATATATATCACTATCACACGTGTATTTAGTTTTTTTGAAAGAAAAAAAAATGGGAATAACCGGAAGGAGCTGGCTATCTTTGATTCTTTTGTATAGAGAGGAAGAGGGTGTAAGGAACCCTATGAGAAACACGCTGTGTTCAGGATTTGAACTCAGATGGGCTGCGCGAATACCCTCGCTCCCACGCCACTTGAGCTATACTCAGTTCTCATCGCACGTGTATTTATGTGTGCGGTGGCCGAGCAGGCACACAAAATGGGGGCTGAAAAATTCAGGACTATTATACTTTGTCCTATTTTAGTTGAGTAATTTTACGGTTCTTGAGGAGGTACCATGATGTACCACCTTTTCTACTGTAAATTTGGTACCTCTTGATACATAGTACTAAATTTTACAATAAATTTTTGAACCGTAGAGTTAATCATTTTAGTTACTTGCACAACAGGATTAAGTAGTGAGGGCTACTTCATCCGTCTATATAAATATAAGTATTTCTAATAAGTTGCAGCGAAAATTAAGATCGGGATGAAATTATTTTGATGCCCATAGAAGTTTGGCCATACCAATTTGCATACATGATCATTGCTTAAGAACGCAAAAACCAGCAGCCGTCCGGCTAAGGGACATCAACTTTGGCAATTGGCATGTCTCCTAACTAACGTGCGCACTAGCAACTGAGAGGGACAAATCAACCGGTGACGATCGTCGATCGGACTCGCATAGCGACGGTCATTTTTGGTGTAGTCTGCACTCTCAACGTCCTCTGTGTTCGTGTGGTTATAGTGCGTGGTGTTTGGATGTACGCTCCATTGCACAACCAATTTTAGCGACAATAATGTTTCTTGAAACCTTTTTATCTGGACACGACTCCCCGTCGGGCGCCCGATCGGGAGGGGGTGCGCCCGATTTACGTGTAAACTTATTTTTAACTGATTTTTCTCTTAAATTACTTATCTAAATCATGATCCGATTGCACCATTAAATTCGTTGCAATTAAATCTTCAAAACAAGACCACACATTGATATATTCTGACGAAATTTTTTTACCTAATTATTGAATTATTTTTAAATGTTACACGATGTTCCACCAGGTATATCGGAATTGTTGCACTAAATATATCGAAAATGTTTCACTCGTTTAAATCGGGTGTTGTTTCACCTTATATAAAAACAATGTTTCAGCAAATAGCGAAAGAATGTTTCAGTTCACTGCAACATTTGATACATAGTGAAACATTATAAGTACACTAGGTGCAACATTTTTCTGTGGAACAAAAAATGAAACGAATTCTCTTAATAGGGGGTTTCTAAAATATGTGGGTTTTTTGTTGCAATGGAATGTTTTAGTTCATTGCAACATTAGATCTATATATAGTGAAACATTGTGAGTACATTAGGTGAAACATTTTTGATGGAACAAAAAAAAGAAATAAATTTCCTTAATAGAGGATTTCCAAAATATGTGAGTGATTTGTTGCAATGACGCGTTCTATAATATCAAAATCCACTGCAACATTTGATCCGTATATAGTGAAATATCACGAGTACACTAGCTGAAACAACGTAAAACTACTGGTTGAAACATCTAAAGAACCAGATGCAGCATTTTAGAAAAATATCAATAAAAAAGCTAAAATATTTTTTTATCAAAATATAATCATGTGTGGTCTTGTTATAAAGATTTAATTTCAACGAATACAACGGCATGATCGGATCGTAGATTGGATAATTAGTTTAGGAGAAAAATCATTTTAAAGTTATTTAAAATACTCAACACGTGGTTCCAGGCGTCCAATTTTTTTTTTCGGCCGCTCGGTCGCCCGACGCGCAGCATTTCCCTTTTTTTATCTCTATATCGATAATATTTGGATAACTTCTTTCTTCGGCCATCCGGCAGAACTGCAGAAGCTGCGGCAGATAAACGTTGCATACTCGATGGGCAATAATAGATGATTGAATTGACCGGCCAGTGGTTCGCAGATTCGCTATGGTCCAGTAGTTGACATTATCCTATCTTGCTATAAAGTTGCTATCACTAACTCCTAAAACTTTACATGTAAATATACTATACTAGCAATTATTATCTAGATTATCTAGATTAACACGGCTCCTCCCCTTATTCTCTACTTATTGCACTATAATTCTTTAAAAAAAACAAATTAAAAAAATAGAAAATAAATCTAATATCTTTTATTCATGTGCATAGACTTTATACTTATATATGTACCGTAAATTCCCACATATAAACTTTATGTATATAAATATTCTATATAAAAATATTTGAATCTAAATACAAATTTAAATCGGATATATAAACTTTAGGTCTATAAATTTTTAAGTGTACAAAATTTAGATATATAAACTTTAGATATGTAAACTTAATGTGTATAAAATTTAGATGTATAAATTTACTAAAACAGGAAAGTAATGATGTTAACAAGGAAATCATGTGGGGGAGGGGGACCGATTCTGCCCAGCGATCAATCACCCGTTAGGACGTTCGTATCAGGTGTTCTAATTGATATATTGATCCGAGCTGTCACATACTTAAGAGTTAATTTGGATTGAGGTCTGGTATGGTCGGTACAGCTCGCCAGCAGTGTCCTCTCGAGGGATTGGAAAAAAGAAGTGCTCACTAACTCCAAACCCCCACTACGCGAGAAGGAAAAGCTGTGGAACTTGTGGAAGCACCTTGTGGATGCTGCATCCACAGATGACAGTTCACTCCGATATATTGCTGCTGGCATATCCCTCCCTGCTGCCTGTTTCTTCGCCCGGACGAACTGAAGAGAACACGCCTTCCTCGCTCGGCCACAAGAACTGCAAGTTTGCACGGGATGGGAACCGGAACTGAACATACAGGCCGTCCAATTTAGCATTCATCTTTGCAGATGATTGACTGTTTGGACCTTGTGATTGCGATGTGGTTCAGCTCGACTTCCTGATGCGTCCCATTCCGATCCGATCGATGAGATCATGTACTTCTTGTGAATTCTTATATCGATCAGCTTCCTCCTTGCATACTTTCATGTTAGGAAACTGAAGCGAACGAATGGTGAACTGGGTGGTTCTGCCCTCTAGGCAAGATGTGGGTATTCATAATTGATCTCATATATATACTCTTTTTTTTTTAACTTTCCGAAAAGGTAGGGAGTTGGTGATAGAAGTGACAAACTCACCGCACATCACCACTGCTACTTTTTTTTTTAAAGAAGTATAGATAAGACCGTTTATTTCCCACCAAATAGAATAACTGTGTTCGCAACTGATTTTTTAATTTACAGTAATACTGTCGTGCAATTGAAAGCTCCGGCCTGGCATTGCTGGTTTTTCTCCTTGATCAGCAGCAAATAGAAGGGGAAAAAAAGGGGGAGAAATATTTCTTATTTCTCAACAAACATAAGAAGTGCGTGAATAACTGATTTTTTAGATTTGCAATTTGCCAAAATAAATCTGTAACGTTTGCCTATTCGCTTCGTTGCCATTCTAAAAATCTGTGTATTTAGATGCCAAAATTTTGGTAATACCAACACATGAACTACAGTACCAAAAAGAGCCCATACATGATCATATTGGTTCACAATGCAAAAACCAGGTTACTGAGAGAAGCGGCACAGTTGGCCGGTCATATCATCCGTACCTGGATTTTTCATATTTTGGTCCTTTTGAAAAACTTATTTCGCAAATAGTCACATGGAAAAACTTATTCCAGAAATGATCCTTTTTAGGGCGCCAGAGAGGCTTGGACGGCGCCACCAGCCACTCTGGCGCCCTCCCCCTGCCGACATGGCGGGGCGATGCTGAGGTGGCTAGGGGGAGCATGCCAGAGTGGCTGGCGCCCCCCCCCCCCCCCACACACAAATTTTTTTATTTTTCTTTTATTTGTTTGTTATTTTTTTCATGCTTAGGGACACACAAGAACCAACCATAGAAAAATTGAACTCAAATGGACGTAATATGTGACCTGTAGAATTTTTCCTCTCCTCTCCCCTCTCTCCGAACTAGTGCAGAGGAGAGAGATGTGCAACTTTTTTATTTTTATTTTATTTTTTTGATATTTTTTTCACACTTAGGAACTCACAAGAACCAACCATATAAAAAATAAACTCAAACGGACGAAATATGTGGCATGTGGAATTTTCCAAAGCTCTACCGAAAAACTTCTCTCATCGAAAACACAATCTTGCAAGCGGAATTTGGAGGTTTTAATATTGCCGAACCCGGCAAAGCGGGAGAGAATCGGATGTAACTTTTTCTGTAGATGTCCGTGGATATATTATTTGCCTGATTCCGAGTCTGTATGAGAAAGTTACGCCTATTTTAATAAATGACACCTGAATGACTTTTCGGTAGAGCTTTGGAAAATTTTACAAGTCACATATTTTGTCCATTTGAGTTTATTTTTTCTATGGTTGGTTCATTTATTCTCCTAACTGTGAAAAAAATATCAAAAAAATAAAAAAACTGTATCTCTCTGTACTGTTTAACTTATGGCTATCATTTCATGTGGTTATATTTTGAATTAGAGATTAAGTAATTTCATATAGTGGTAGAGTGCATTATGTTTATATGCTGATCAAAGGGTTTTACTAAAGGAGTTATGGTCTAATTTTGATGAAGGTGCAAAGTAGGCTAAGTGGTATGCTATTTTCGGATATCTAGCTAAGTGGTATATTCCGTTTGAGTTTAAATTTTTTTTGTTTCTCTAGTGGTTGGTTGTATCATGATCCTAAGTGCGAAAAAACATCCGAAAAAATAAAACAAAAATAAAAAGGTTGCAACTCTATATAGAGAAATAGGAATGGAGGCGAGGGGTGGGGGGAGGGGGGCGGCGCCAGCCATGCTGGTGCCCTCCTCCCTAGGGCGGTGCCAGCCATGTTGGCGCCCTCCTCCTGCCACATCGGTTTGCGTGTGCCACGATGGAAGGAGGACGGCGCCAAATAGGCTGACGCCGTCTCGTTGGACGACGGCGCTAGCCACTCTGGCGCCCCAAAAAGGACCATTTCTGAGATAAGTTTTTCTAGAGGTCTATTTACGAAATAAATTTTTTAAAAGGATCAAAATGTGAAAAATCCAGTCATCCGTACTCCCTCTATTAAAGAAATACTTAATCTGAATTTGAATCTGGACACGGTGTATATGCCTAGATTTAAACCTAAGATTAGGCATGTTTTAGTTCGCGAACGAAAATTTTTAGCATGTCACATATTTGAATACATATTTAAAGTATTAAACGTAGACTAATAGCAAAACAAATTACAGATTCCGCCTGAAAACTACGAGACGGATTTATTAAGCCTAATTAATATGTCATTAGTAAATGTTTACTGTAGCACCACATTGTCAAATCATGGAGCAATTAGGCTTAAAATATTCGTCTCGTAATTTACACGCAATCTGTGTAATTATTATTTTTTTGTCTATATTTAATACTCTGCATGTTTCTAAACATTCGATGTGACATAGTGAAAAGTTTTTGTTTGGGAACAAAACAAACCCTTAGAATCTTTTTGGAACAGAAGGAGTAAGCTGGAATGCTGCACCGAAGCTAGCACACGGGCACCTGATCGATACGCAACACACGCATACCTAGAAGGAAGCGCAGATAAGGATTAAGTACTGATTGGGGCGTGTTCCACCAAACATCGATAAGATGAAGAGGAGAATAGCATGGTACTTCCTTTCGCGGATTTGTAACGTCCTCGCGAACAATGGCGACGAGCTGACGATCCAAGTACATGAAGCCTAAGACAATAAATCTATGCTTAAATAAGAAAGGAGAGGGGCCTTCAAGAGCTCCATCGTAATCAAGGTGATGATGTCTGGTAAGTTGCTGTACGATTTTTCATTCTCCTTTCTCGTTGTTGTTTTCCTCGCTTTGATGCACTGGAGAGAACACGGCTTCCCCACTCAACCATGCAAGCTTGCACACTTAACAGGAACCGGAACAGAACAGACAAGCCGTCCTCGCTAGCTTTCATCTTAGCGGGCGATTCACTATTCGTACTTTGGGGTTGTCACCGTCTTTTGCTCAAGTTCCTGATGCGTCCTATTCCGATGAGATCACACATGGCGTGAATCCGACCCCTCTCACTGGCTTCCTCCTTGCACACAGTACTCTCTTCTCTTAGGAAACTGAAGTGAAGGGATGGAGAAGTTGGTTCTTCCCCCAAACCTCATGAAGTCGCGTATTTATGCGTTGTGTCAAGGCAAGATGTATATATATAGGTGCACGTAGTGATGGCTAAAAATTTAGTGCTACACCAACCTCTATTGCAGGTTAATTACTTAGCATCAAGTGAGTGCTATGTCGTTTAGTACTTATCTACTTGTGGTTTTGATTAACAACTACACTGATTAAAAGCTTTTAAAAAACCCCACTGACTATATTGTTAAACGGATATATTAAGAGCCAATTTGTGCATGTTGTGATGCACTGTGGATTTTTGAAGAGGAAGGCAGATTATTTACTAATTAATGAAAAAATTCGCCACAGTTAAAAATAGTGTATACCAGGCAACCATAGCAAATATAATATTTTTTTATGTATACTCTAATTATTACGTAATAGTAGTATTATAATTAATAAAGCCTAATTAAAACAACTTAAAAATATGTATGCTATTGCTACCCAGCGGATGATGCACTAGGTAGTGCTATACGAATTGAGATCCTCTGCAGTTAATGCATCGTGCCTTTGTTACTAATATGTGGGTCCAGGGATCATCGGACCTACATGTCAGTGACAATAGCACGGTATGTACAGTTGACTGTAGAGGATCCTGATCCAGTGCTGCACATGAGAATGCCAATGGCAAAGCAAAGCATATCAAAGGATATTTTTGGCATAGCTGAGTTACATGGCGTTGCTGATGGCACTATGATGAACACGGCTTATTTCTAACCAAATAGAAGAAGCGTGTGCATAACTGATTCTTTATTTTATCACTGTTGTCTAGGTAGGTGCATAGGTAGAAATACAACTTTTTTAATAAGGTAGCTATTACTCCCTCCATCTCTGAATATTTGACGCTGTTAACTTTTTTTAAACATGTTTGACTGTTCATCTTATTCAAAAAATTTAAGTAATTATTAATTCTTTTCCTATCATATGATTCATTGTTAAATATACTTTTATGTATACATATAGTTTTACATATTCCACAAAATTTTTTGAATAAGACGAACGGTCAAACATGTTTAAAAAAGTCAACGACGTCAATTATTTAGGAACGGAGGGAGTATATGTTTGTAGTTGACATGCAACTGAAATCTCCAGTTTGGCTTTGCTGGTTGGGTTTTTGGTTACCAAAATTCTGGCAATAAAATTTGTTGACAACGCAAGAACAAAATAGACCAGGTTAATTGGTTAGTGAGGTCGGTGATACAGGTTGGCAGCTCCCCTTCCGGTTGCTAGCTTCTTCTTTTCTCGTTTGGCCCAACGAAGAGGCCACACTTTTTCAGTTAACTCTCTCTCACCTTTCAGTCTAGGAACCGGAAGCGAATGAACTTGCTGCATCAGCGTTCATCCTAGCGTAGGAAGCACACATATATTGTGCCTGACCATCAGATCGAGCTATGGCTTGTGTCATGATGCGTCCTATTCCTATATATGAGACCAACGTTCGTTTGATCCTCTCCTCTTAGCAAACTAAGGTGAATGAAAGTTAAATGTGTTTCTGCATGCCCAGCAATCTGATACGATCGATGTCACATATATATATATTTATCTATAATATAAAAAGTACGAGTTCATCCACAATCCTACAATCTTTCGGATCTACAGTCGCGTGGGACCCACCTGTCATCCGGCTCAAAACAAACCGCACCATCCGCGCGGACCACGTCACGCACAAAAAAAAACGCCGATAAAAAAAAAGAACGCCAAAAAAAAAAAGCGCATCTAACCTCCGCCCTCCGCCATCCCCACGCGGCCACGCCGCTCACCCTACCCCGCCGCCGCCTCGGATCTTTGTTGGGTACAATATTTTCATTTGTTGGGAGGATAGTAAGGATCTGATAATGGCAATATACACCGAAACAGTGCATTGCGCTCAACATTTGTGCTCTATTTACAGAGTTATAAAGTAAACAATAGTAGTGATGCATCAATCATGAAATTCTCATAGCTGTATGGCATTGCATTTATATAGCAATCTGGTTAGATGTGCACTGACATTAACTTTACTCTTAATTATTTACTTGAATTAGCAAGGTGACTTAAGGTCATGTAGGTCAATCCTGTACATGTATATGGGGATTGTTGTTTGATGTTTTCTCATACATCCATATTTCAATTATATGTGGTCTATGCAAGCTCATATGGTTAATTAATTCTAACAATTCTTCCTACTGCCTGGCTGCTCTGATCTTTTCTTACTACATCGAGATACAATCAGATCATGACATGTCTCTTCTCTTCGTCCATTGCAAAAATTTTTTTGTGTGTGTTTGTTAATCACTTCATCTTTTTTCAGATTGTATTTATGCTTTTAATCACTCCATCTTCTGCCAAATTGTAAGTTCATACCTTTCATTTCATCTGGACCCTGTGAAAGGAACATGATTTCCTATCTAGATTTGTCTTTTTTAATTATTTTTTAACCTTTTTCTACTCAGTGTATTGATGGGTCAGATGGTGCATGGAAACAGGACGCGGTTCTATCCGCCAGTGAGGTGCCTGCCCTGCCAACTACTTAGGAGTGTGCCAGTATTCTACATGGTTGTCTCCTCCATGATCACTTAGCAGGTCAATTTCAACACTTGCCTCTCACAAAAACTAGATATATGATATTTTATCGACACCGGTAGTTGCTCGATGTTCTTGAAGAATAGCATGTCAAACTGAATAATCTAGCCAAGATCATCTAGCGATAGATTTATTAAGTTTGATGGTTACGATTTATAGTTTGCTTTTCCTATTAACTTATATGTGCTGTCAAATAAGCTTTAGTGATCGTCAACAAAAGCTATGTGTACCTCTGAAGCAAAGAGCACACCAGCTAGAGCTGATCATTTGTTTTTTAGGGTTTACTGTGTGAAAAGTCCAATAGAGATGTCAATTTTTATCTCCTGACTATCTATTGGCTATTGCTCTCTAGGGACAACATATATTGTTCAGAATTTTTTTGGTTGGTTCATCTTGTTTGCCATCAGATTCATTTGAGGTTTATCTATGCTTTGATGATGGCCAAAGAGGATCAGTTCCATTTCAGCCAAGCGATTATAGTTTTTTTTTCCTGTGCTTCATGTAAAATTTAATTATTATATTTGTTTCTTTACAGGAAAGTTATGAGATCATGAGGAGTGGCATGCCTAAGTTGACTCTCTTGAGCTTGATATGATGTCCTGAACATGCATGTTCAGGTGAGCAAAATTATACTTTAATGCACCAGTTTTGGAATTCAAACTCAAAGAAACTTGAAAACCCTGGTTGTAACTTCACTAAATAAATGTACTTATTTAAGGCATGAAGATTAACATCTTGACTTTAGTTCAATGATGGGTCATTGTCATTGACGATCACATGGTCCACAGAGGCCTTGGTGTCTTCGATCTGCCATGATTTCCAACAGGTTAAGCTTTGTCATCTCATCTTCTGAAATCTGAACATTTTTATCTCTGCATTTGTTTCTGATGGTTTAAACTTGGGTTTGGCACTGGACGATCTGGTTCTTGATCATTTGGTCATCATGTACTTCAAAACTTGCACATTTGGTATTGAATGTAGACTCAAAACAGGCTCTATATCTATGTTTGAAACTACCCAGTCCTAAAAATGCTTGTAATACATTACAACTATCTAATCCTAAAAATGCTTGTAGTACATAATTTAGAAATTAAGATGGTTCTTTTAGTATAAGGTGATGTCATCAGAATTGCTTCAGGAAGTACTTGCAAAGCTATTTATCAATTCAATCCTATGCTTATTGTAATCCAACAATCTTTTGATCATCAAAATGACCCTGGAAATATTATCCTTTTACTAAGTGCTGGGATTGAAGCAGGCGATATATATCCTTAACTTTATATTGGATTATCTCAATAAGGCCGGCCTACTGCTGGCCTTATCTTTAGTTGTTTACTACGGCTTGGTTGGAGGTTGGCCAAATAGAGTTGTTGCTTTCACGATTATTATTATTATGCCATTGCCTTGAAGGTATGCATCATGTATGGCCCGATTAACGCTGACACTATAATGTTTGCTGAATTTTCTTACGGTGCTCATATTTTGCACGTGACATTGAATCCGATATATTGCAGGGGCTCAGATTGGAGAGGTACATCGAAACAATTCAACAAGGATGATGTAACAACTTACAATATTTCTTGTTTCCTGCTTCTTATCTATGATATTCAGATGCTGATTAAATCAATTGTTTGGCAGGAATTATCAAGTCACCATGGTGTTTTACAATGTCAAATGGCAGATGTCCAAAAACTTCTCAGGTAATAAATAACTTGAGCTATATATCGAATTATATACTCTCAATGGATAAAAAATGCAACAAATATGCATAAATGACTAAATTCTTCTATTCAGTGCCGTATTCAGTAGTGGTTTGGTGGCATATGATCTTAAAAGGACCCTTTAACACATATATATTGCATTGATGTCAGAAATCATTGTCGATTCTCATATATAATAGCCAGAAAAGGGAATTAATTGAGTGACCCATATAACAACATTACATGTCCTTCAGTTATTGGATCAACCACACGAAGGTTAACAATATTGACCATATAAGAGGAATTTAAAAGAGTATTTGAATCACATCGTAATTCATAAGGAATATACTATTTGTTAACCTTCTAATTACCTTTGATTGATCATGTTGCCTGATTCACTACATAATATTTGGAGTGTTAATGCCAATTCATATAGTGCTTTGCTATCACTATTTCAGTAGTGTATATACTGTTAAGCAAAATAATTTCATTTTGCAACTTGTATATATATATATCTCTACATGAGGACTTTGCTAAGCAACATCTGAGGGGCCTACAATGAGTTGTTGCTTGCGTAAGAAGTTTCAGCATCGAAATTCATAATATGTGCACTGCAGGTCTGAGGTTCAAATATCTGACCAAAGTACTACCCCCCTTGACAGATTCAGTTCCAGAATGAGACACATTAACAGGTGACGGAACACACTGTCGTGGTTCCATAGCGGTTACGTGCAGAGGGCAAGCAGCTTATGAAGCCATGCCTTGTTTCATCAGAGGTGAGATTGAGCTAAAGGTGATGAATTTAGAAACTTCAGTAGCTGGCATCAACTGAACTTACTAGCAAATGCTTAATTCTGAAACCTGACAAGATCTCAGGAACTAACAAAAGAAAATCCAGTCTTTACGCACCGACGTTGGGTGTTCAGTGAGCAGGGCGTTGCAGAGCTACCAGGGCTACTTCAGCATGAGGAAGCAGTCAGCCAACAGCGTCGGCAGCAAGCACAGGCTGAAAATGAGAATGTTAATCTAATTAAATCAAAAAATTAGTTCATGTTATGCCATTCATTTAGTGTAGTTATAGTTTGTCCTTGTGTATGCTTATACTGCCATCGGCGATCGGCCAATCTATGCCATTAGGATATGCATGTAAGAACTCAGAAGTGGTGTGCGACTGTCTATTATCCATTGAAAATCGCTTGATTTTTTTCACACAAAATAAGCGTCTGATAGATAAATGGTCTCTGATTTTTTTTAGCCTCTGTAAGTTGTAATATTTGTAAAATAATGAATGGATACTTGAAAACTGATGTTTGACATTGTTTCGGTGTAAATGAATTGGAGTTCAAGTTTACAAAGAATTATGTTCAAATCGAACATTCCAACGTGTTTCAGCAATTTAAAACAATCTCAACCTTTTTTAGAGCTATATGGAATAATCACATATTTACGAATACACATATTTTTGTTAGTACCAAGACTGAATACTCTTTCAAAATTAACTCCATTCAATAGTATCGACGTGCCTTGCACGTGCACGCTCACTAATAGTGACTAAAAATTCAGTGCTACACCAATCCTCCCTTTTTGTTGGTTAATTACTTACCGAACGGGTGGGTGGGTGCTACATTGTTTACTTATTATTACCATTTGGATTAGCAACCCAGTGACTAAATTGTTAAAACAAAGATAGGGAAGAATGGGAGACAATTTGTGCGTGTGGTGTATTATATGGATTTAAGTTAGATACAAGAGGGGACTATTTTACAAATTAACCAAAATATCGGCAAGGTTAACGTACTGCATACCATGTAACTGTGCGAACGCATAACAAAAATTACCGCTGATGCAATTGCTTATTTCTCACCAAATAGAAGAGGTATGTACATAAATGTTTATATTTAATACTTCTCTATCAACAAAAGCTCATCAACAACTAGGTTGTAGCCTTGTAGGCAGATGGCGCAGTGATCAATGAAAAGGTTGTGCCTCTCCTGATCTCATTTTGGTTCGGCAGTGCTTAAGAACCCCCAAACCAGATTACCCAGAGAAGTGATACGGATGGCTGTCTTATCGATGACACATGTAAATTCATACATTATGCTACACTACAGATAACCTAGTATTACGAGTGTAAGTAGCTAATCTACGAAATCCACTTATAAATCAAAATAAGCCGTAAATCTGTTTATTTTGATCTATAAGTGGGTTTGCGGCTTACCATTTACACCCGTACCTAGCATGGCCACATAGAGCTCGCCGTACTTTACACTGTTCGGCCGACGAGACATATATCAACTGGCATACGTAGGAACCTGCAGTCCTGGTTCGATTAGCATGGTCGAACAAAATTTTGATTCGTTGGCTGCAATGTGTGACATCGATCGTGGGACCAACGGCTGCATACCACCTTTTCGTTGTTGAGTTTGAGTCTTCTTTTGTGATCGATTTTTGCTCTGATACGTACAGTTGGTCGGTTGCTACAGTGTGTTGTATTTTTTTTTTATCAAACATGGTTCGATTTTACTCATATACTGGAGATGCTCGTATCACCATGCAAGGCTAGCAAGGCATGTCCCTTTACGACGGCGTAGCCACCTCGGATCCTAGATAGTGTGCCCGGACGACATGTTGTTCCGGAGAGTTGTTGCTGATCTCACTCGCTCCTGGTTGTCCCTTAGGTTGGTTTAATCGATCTATGTCTCGGCTCGTGTTCCTGATGCGTCCAATACCCAGTAGATCACTGCATGATCCTTGTCAGCTCCCTAGCTTACACACTTCTCCTGCTAGCAGACCGAAAGAAATTGGATGCACTACTACAAAACATCAAATAAGTGTCGCCACTATAGGTGCCTTTTCCCACCTCCACGGGTTAAAATCGCAAAAAACCGACACCTTTAAGTAATTATAGGTGTCGATTCTAAATAAAAACCGGCACATATTATATTTTATACCGTTTTTTTTAAAAACGGAACCTTTAATATTAAAAACCAGCACCTATTATAAATTATAGGTTCCTTTTAAACTGAGCCGAGCCGAGGAGCGGATAAGACCGAGGGAGAGGATAAGACCGAGTCGCTGAGCCCCTCTCTCTCGGTCTCATCGCTTCACATCCGCCTCTCTCTCTCTCTCGCTCTCATCCAATCCCGCGCCTCTCTCTCTCTCTCCCCACGGGCGGCGGGCGGTGCCCTCCCCTCCGCCGCCGCTGCCGCCTCTGCGGCGGTGGCGGCGGGAGGCGGCAGTGGCTACGAGAGGCGGTGGGAGGAACCCTCCCTTTCGCCAGATCCGGGGAGGGGCGGCACATGAGGCCGGTCATGTCATCTGTATTCTCCCTCTGTTAAAGAAACACTTAATCTTGAGTTTGTATCTGGAGATAATGTATGTCCAGATTTAAACCTAAAATTAGGTGGCAGCAGCGGGAGGTGGCATGCGGCGGGAGGGGAGGTGGTGGCGGCCCGACGGCGGGTCGAGAGGCAGTGGCGGCGCCCTCCCTGTTCTTCAATGTTCTTCAATGATTTCTGTGTTAGTGACAGATCTCTGTGATGTTCTTCAATGTTTCTTGTTCTGTGATGTGTTTGATTGGGGATTGAGGATTGTGAATGATTTGGGAGTTGGGGATTGTGATTGTGATTCATCGCAGGGTGGATGAGCTTCAAGTCTTTTTTTCGGCTCGATTCAGTAACTTTTTCTATAGATGTCCGTAGATATATTATTTGCTTGATTCCGAGTCCGTATGAGAAAGTTACGCCTGTTTTAATAAATGACACCCATTTTCGGTAGATATTTAGAAAATTCTAGATGTCACATATTTTGTTTATTTGAGTTTATTTTTTCCATGGTTGGTTCTTATGTGCTCCTAAGTGTGAAAATAAATATAAAAATGTTGGATATCTCTCTCTTCTACACTATAGAGGACAAGGGAGGAGAAAAATGGTGGCGCTGGGGTGGGGGGGGGGGAGGCCCCAACCACATTGGCGCGCTCCCCATGCCACCTCAGCACCGCCCCGCCACATCGGTAGGAGGACGGCGCCAGCCACTCTGACGTCTAAAAAGGACCATTTCTACGTTAAGTTTTTTCAGAGGTATATTTGCGAAATAAATATTTCAAAAGAAGCAAATTGTGAAAAATCCTGCGCATGAAATCTCTAATCTAATCCGGATGATCGATACGATTAAGCTACTAATAATTTAGTGTGGTATCATGGGCATGACACGGATCTCAAGGAAAATCATTGGCTGAAAAAACGTGCGAGATTGAGAAAGAAAATTGTGGAGAGATGTTTAGCAATATCGGCATCGGTAACTGATTCTTTAGCTTTGATATTTGTCATACAAGGAATGACGGAAAGCAGGTCGTATAGGCCGTGGCAAAGAAGGCGAGACAAGCTATATTCTAGTCCATTAATTAGTTGCCTCAGCTTGTTTCCGCACATCCAAAAGCTAACCCAAGGCAAAAACGAGCCAATTGTTCCCATTTCTCTTCATCCCATCAGCGAGCCTATCATGCTAAGCTCGTTACGGTATTATCAGAACTGGTTGAGTTGAGCATAGGCGATGAGAAAAAAACACACGAGTGCCATGTCGGTGAGATGCGCATCTATGGCGTCCTAATTGCGTCGGATCCTAGCCGTCGCCGTGTCCGGGTGACCTGCTGCTCCGACGAGCTGTAGCTTGGCTTACCCACTCCCGTTGGTTGTCCCTTAGGGTGGTTTAATCCATGTTTCGGC